ACATAGGAGCCTGAAGAAGAGTGGTACAATATGGACCTAAAGCTCTATTTCATTTTTCATGCCGATGTTATAGCAGATAGTTTTTGCCAACAATGTTAATGACCCTTTGTGCCGGGTTCAGGGTTGACCGTCCTCGCCGTCGATGACCACCTTCCCGCCGAAGAACCAGTGACGGCTGTGCTCCGAGTTTCCCTGGGTTTAGAGTTAGGGTTTGGGGATTATGATTAAGGTTTTGGTTTTGTTGTGGGGGGTTTAGGGTTCTCAGAAATTCAAGGCCAACAACATGGCGATATTGCCATTAAATTGCCTACTTCTGTTCGTGCTACTACTGCCACGACCACCGCAAGCACTACTGCTGTTGCTGCTCCTGCTGTTGCTCTAGGCTACTGGCTCTTGCTCCACATCTCCTGTCGCGAGCAGGAGGAGGAGGAGGAGCAGAGAGGAGGAGGAGGAAGAGGGGAAGGACGACGACAACTACTACTACCACTTCTTTCGTTGCCGGGCGAGCACTTCTCCACAGAGAGCTTGTACGCCGGATGTGTGCCGGTACTTCAAGTATAGAGTGAAACTTTGGATTTAGGAATGCGGGCTTAGAAACACAGCGTCAACATGGCAATCGCTCCGTGGCGCTAGAGGCATGGCTACTCACTGTGTAACATCAGTGGGTTTGGAGTTTAGGGTTTAGGGTTTAGGTTTAGGGCACCATCAGCACAGTCAGTCTGAAAGCCACCAACGGCATTCTTGGTCGTGTTAGTTGCATTTGTCGCATGGGTGTATGTACTTGCGCAACCAACAGGGGGTATGATGGCAATTGCTGCTACCAATACTGATGGAGCATGAACTTTATGTCATTATGTGATGGTTCGTTCTGCCTTATGGCTTCGGGAAGGATTGCAAGGAGTTTGATACCATAGTCCAGCGAATACTCTGGCCATGATGACGAGAGGTATACGACGAATACCACTGATGCTGCTCATGTCAACCTTACAACCTGCCTAAATTCCTTCAATAGGATCTTCCCCCCCACTACGCACGCTGTCATCCCAACTATCTATCACCAAACACCAGTCAATCCCCAACCTGAAGAGTACAACCCCTGCACCAGCCAGCAAACCAACTCGTAGCCACAATCTTAGAACCGTCAAGACGGTAAGCTCCAAACCACTTCACCACACCTCTAGCCTCGCAAACTCAAACCCTTTGGCACAGAAACGGGTAAACCCATCACTACACTCCCAAGAATTCCAAACTGCACGAAACGCTTCAAAACTCCATGAACATGCTGGACTATTAAGCCTCGACGGCCCCTTAAACCGCGCGCCTGATCACCCCACCCGACAAGCAAGAATAACAAGAGTAAGACTAAGGACCCCAAGAACAAAACTTGAGTATCCTTTTGCATACACGCATATGCACACATACACGCATACATATGTCAGATTGCGTAAGTACATACATACATACATACATACATACATACATACAGACATACATACATACATACATACATACATACATACATACATACATACATACATACATGTTGTAATATATTGTAATAATAGACTTTAGTATATTTTAGTATAGTAGATCATCGTATATTATAGCTTTATTATGCGTACGTACCACCCTTCGGGTCCGCCTGGGCAAGGTCGAAGCACTCCACCGTCGTCGGGTCGCGCTTCAGCTCGTCGCGGAAGACGCGCAGGTAGTAGGCAATGTCCTGCCCAGCTGCTAGAGTCTATAGGGTTTAGGGTTTTGGGTTTGGGTTTGGGGTTTAGGGTTTAGGGTTGCTTGGAGGTTCATGGGTAGTTATAAGTGGGGTTATAAGTAGGGTAGCTATAGCAATAACCCATATTAGGGGACTTATAACTCCGCTTATAACTGCCCATGAACCTCCAAGTAGAGCTAATGCGTACACACTAAAAACCCCCAAATCCTAAACCCTACATCCTAAACCCTAAAAAACCCTAGACCGTAGACCCTAAACTCAAAACCCCAAAACCCTAAACCCGAAAACCCTAAACGACTAAAGAGCTAAGGACTTTCTGCTTTTGGGGTCAAGGGTTTCAGATTCGGGCTTTTGGGGTATTGAGCCGATGCACACTTGAGGTTTAGGGTCGTTGGAAGACCTCTATACCGTTAAGGGTTTAGGGTTTGGGGTTTAGGGTTTAGGGCTTGGGGTTTAGGGTTTAGGGTACCTCGGATTTCGGGCTGAGGGGTTTCCGCGGTGGCACCCGAAAGCAGGAAGTGAGCGCAGGCTAGGATGCTTCTAACTGCCAAAAGGCCCTAATGTAAGGGCCTTAATAATTAGAATCGGGTTTTGGGGGCTCCTTACTATAGTTATAGTACAATATACCCCAAACCCTATTCTAATTATTAAGGCCCCTAAAGGCCCAGGGACAGAGGTACCCTCGACTCCGGCAGGCAGAGGCTTCCGCCCGTTCTGATATTAACCCTAAACCCTAAACCCTAAACCCTAAATAGAAGCCCTTTACAG